TTTTAAAGTGTTGAAGAGCAAAGATGTCAGCTTGAGGACTAAGGTGCACCTGACCCAAGCCATGGTATTTTCAATAACCTCATATGCACGCGAAAGTTTGGCAATAAATTAGGATCAGCGCTGGACTGCGAACCCCAATGTCAGCCGTTCAAACCCACCAGCTCCTCCTCGTAAACCCTACACAGAGTCTCTAGGAGTCTTAACAACAACATAGAATTCAGTTATGGTGTTGGAGAAGAATGTTAAAAGTGCCATGGACTGCCAAAAGAACAAACAAATCTATGTTGGAAGAAGTACAGCCAGAGTGCTCCTTAGAAGCCAGGATGGCCAGACTTCATGTCTCATATTTTGGACATGTTATCCGAAGGGACCAGTCAGTCCCTGGAGAGGGACATCATACTTGGGAAAGTGGAGAGACAACAAAAAAAGAGGGAGACCCCCCCCCCAGATGGATTAACACAGTGACAGCTACATACAGTGGGCTCAAACACAGCAGCAATTGCAAAGATGGTGCAAGACTTGGTCCTGTTTTGGTCTATTGTGTCTTGGGTTACTATGAGTCAGAACTGACTCCATGCTCCTTAACAACAGCAACCCCACAAGGGTACCATGTGTCTTCTTTACATTTTAAACAAGTTATCCAGTCCTCTTTGAGGGCCACAAACACCTCACACCTGGAGTCTTGGTGTGTAGGATAAGCACTAGACCACAAGGTTGGTTTGAACTGCAGGTTCGGCAGTTCGAACCCACAAGCAGCTCCTCGTAAACCTTATACAAGGTTGACACGAGTCAGAACTGGCTTGACAGCACTGAACAACAATGCAGTCTTTGGTGGCGGTACAAACTATGGTTAGAGAGCCATTTCAGCAGTTCACTGAACACTCACGTAACCCAGCAATTCCATTCCTTGGCATCTACACAACAGAAATGACTGAAAGAGAACATCTACAGACAATCATGTTACCCATGTTTACCACAGCAGTATTCGTGGTACCAGAAGACACAGACAACCTAAGTGCTCAACAGCAGATGAGCTGAGCGTGTGAACCAAATGTGGCCCATCCACACATGGGATAGCACTCAGCCAAAAGGGGACTGAAAAACGTAAAGGTAGATTTTTGTAACAAAAGGAGGGGAGTTGAGGCCCCTTGCACCATCAAGGGAAAAGAGCAGAGTGCAGGACCCTACCCAGAGAAGCAATGATGCCAATGGTGAAGGCAGAGACGACGTGGAGAGATGAAGTGGCTGGGGACTGTAGACCCAGGGAGGGAGAGGGACTGTGTGCTGACGGCTGGGGGGGGGTAGGGGGAGAGACAGGCTTGTGGGGTATACCCTTTGGTTGTTTGCTGATGTCTGTAGGGGATGGTAATCATTGCAATGAAACGAAATAGGATAGGATGAATGTAAAGCTGGTGTTCTCCCATGTAAACTATCACAGAATTCACAATAAAAACGTTAAAAAAAAAAAAGTGGCCCTAAGTACTGATGGGCTGTAACAAGGAAGAACCTAGACAAATGTAGAGACAGAGAGTGGATTGTTCCTGGTGTACCATGCAGGATAAGCACTGGATCCCAAGGGTGTTTTGAACCACAAGGTCAGCAGTTCAAACTCACCGGCCGACCCTTGGAAACCCTATACAGGATTGCTGAGTCAGAACCGACCCTGTGGCTCTTAACAACAACCACAAAGAGCTGGGGAATGACTGTTCATGGATATGGGGTTTCTTTTGGGGTGATGAGAATGTTCTGAAACTATCATGTGCAAGAACAGCATGAACTAGATCATGAGCTACAACTAGACAGTGAGGGGAGGTTGCACAGGTCTGCAGCTGTAATAAACTCCACTGAACGGTACATGATGAAATGGGTAAAATAGCGAATTTTATGGCAGGTGAGTGTTATGTCAATAAAACTTTTAATTAAAGACACGGTAGAATGGGACCAGACTCCCATCCTGGTCCGTACTGGACTAGTAGGAAGGGCCTCACCCCTGAGCTCCCTCCCTTACTGCAGAGTGAAGCCTTAACTCTGGACACTATCTTGGAGCCTTGAGGCTTCCCAGACTCCATTTCACCATCTGTAGATAGGAGTCACTTGGGCAAAGCTGTGACGCTCCACTTGCCCTTCCATCTCAGAGCCTGGAGCAGCCGAGGGAACCCTACCCAGAGCCCTCTCCAAGTCAGGAACATGGGGAGGGAGGCCACTACTCCCCCCTCCCCCCCACACACACATGAGGGTGGTGCCCCAACTCTGCTTTTCAGGGGATGCTGACAAACACTCCTGAAATAACTATTCCAGTGTTTATGCCAAACTTGCAAGATACAACTCCAGCAAAATTGGAAAAAGTTGAACCTCCCTTGGCGTGAACAGGGTCAGTGTGGTCACTTAGCCCAGTGCTGGCCCAGGGATGGAGGGGGCGGTGGGAGGAAAGGGGGGAGCTTCCTGAGAAATGAGACAATGAGGCCCTGGGCCAAACTGACTCCTAGAAGCCATCTTGGTACTAGCTCCGGCCAGTGTCCCTCCATCCATGTCCATCAAAGACCCCCTGCTTTGTCTTTTGGTAGGTCTGGGGACAGGGTGAGACCCACAGTACCATAAATGAACCCGCATAAATGTCCATAGCTGGGGGTTCAGAATGGGGTGAGAGGTAAGCGCAAGACAAAAAGCAGAAGCCAGCCACGGGGCAGTCCACAGTTCCCTTGGGTCCAAAGGGCAGCAGGCGAGGGGGCAGGGGAGTAGTGGAATGTTAATGACTCAGAACCCAAGAAGGAGGCGGCCCTGAGGCCCTGAGGTTGCTGAGACAAGAAGAGTCCAGCATTTTTGTAAATACCTACAGATTGCGAGGGAGTCCTGGTGTGTAACTAAGATAACAAAAAACACTGGACAGCAAGGTTCGCGGTTCAAGCCCACCAGCTGCTCCTCAGAAACCCTATACAGGGTGGCACTTGAGGTTGAGAGAGGGTTAGAAGTTCAACCCTCTAGACTTCAGATTCCGTGAGTGCCTGTCTGTTCTCGGAGGAAGGAGTGGAACATGGGGGTCAAGAACGTTCCCAGCCAAACGTTTCCTAACTGTCCTCACGCTCCACGTGCACCTACGATACAAACTGAAATGCAAAAAACCCATTCCTTGGCCCCTATACAATGGGGCCGGTGTGCTGAGCCCCCGTAGATGGGACCAGGATCTTGGGGGCCCTATAGAAGGGGCCAGGGTCTTGAGGAGCCCAGAATCTCGCAGCAAACCCGTCACTCCGAGTGTGGGGGAAACGCTGGCCACCTGCCTGAGCCTGCACAGGAGTTAGACCCAACTCAGCTTGATTTTGAACCAACTGGATGGCACTTAACAGTAACTTGATTTTATGAGTTAAAACCACAACAGTCTCTAAAGAGGGGACGATTCTCTCTCATACACGAGTTTCCAGCTGTAAGCCATTCCGCCAGCGTTGCTGGCAATAACCCGGCTAACTGTCTGCAATCCTCCGAAGCGCGGTCTGCGTGGACGCGGCCACTTGCCCCAGACGAGCATGCGCAGTCACCGATCCCAACAAAAGTTCAGGCACGGCCTCCCCTCATCCCTCACTCCGACCTCCTATTGGTCGACAAAGCCACGTGTCCTCGGTGCTGATGGGACTGACCAATGAACTGAGTGTAGGCGTGGCCAGGGGCGGGGAGGTGCGGCGGGGCGCGGCGCATCCATTGGCCGGCGGGATAAGGGGAGGAGCTGCTGCTCCTAAGCCCCCCGCTGTCGCTGCGATGAGCTTCAGCCGTCTCTGCCGCCTGCTGAAGCCGGCGCTGCTGTGTGGATCTATAGCCGTGCCAGGCTTAGCCAGCACCATGGTAAACGGCGGTTAGGTTGGGCCGTTGGGCCGGCGCGCGGGCCGGGGTGGGGGCCCGGCTTTCTAGCCACTGGGGCGCGTCGGGTTCTGACCCCTGGCCTGAGAGGGCGGCCCCTTTGGTCACCTTCTCTTGGCACACCGCGCTAGTGAGGCTGTGGCGGGGCGGGTGTCCTGCCGCTGGGGAAGGGGCGTCGGTTTCTGTCCTCAAGTCACCTTTCTTGTACCCACCCGGCCGGGTCCGATAGCTGGGCGGAAGCGGGAGGACAGTTAGGGGTTGCGTATCTGTTTCCAGGGCCGGAGGGACGACGAGGGCTCGGGCTCAGGCGCGAGGGTGGGGAACGCGAGTCATGCGACCGCTGCGCGCCCCTCCCCCGCCGGCCCACCCCCAGGCCCCGGAGCGGTGGCGTCACAGTCCGGGCGTCCTGACTACTGGCCCTTTGTCCCACGTCGTAGCGCTCGCAGGGCACTGGCGCGGCCTGACATCAGCCGACATGGGCCGCCCACAAGCCGCCTCCCCGAGGCGCCAGTGCAAAGGCCGGGGCCGGGGCCGGGGCGGGCGGCGGCGTGGAACCGCGACCAGGCGAAAGGCCCATGCGGGCAGGAGACGGAGGGCGCGCCCTCGGCGGAAGGTGGCGGGCTGCGCAGGGCGGGTCAGCCCACTACCCCCGTGGGGTCTTGAGTTCTCAGGGGGCCCCCAGCGTCTGCGGGCAGGGGGCATGCGTACCATGAAGGGAAGCCTGCCGCCTTCTTTTTCTTGCCCCGGGGCCCAGGTTTCCTAGGGCACGGATCCCAGGCGGGGCCCCCTCTGTTGCCGTCGCCGTCATCCCCCCATCGCCGGTTGTTTAGCTCCACTTGTCTTGCAGTGTGCGTCCCGCGATGACTGGCGTTGCGCCCGTTCCATGCATGAATTCTCGGCCAAGGACATCGACGGGCGCATGGTGAGCCTGGACAAGTACCGGTGTGTATCCGCCTCTGGGAGGGAGTCCGGGAGGCGGGCCAGGCGCACGGTGGGATGGGCAGGTGGCCTGACCATGGTTCTGTGACCTCTCCTGCAGGGGCTTCGTGTGCATCGTTACCAACGTGGCCTCGCAATGAGGCAAAACAGACGTAAACTATACTCAGCTAGTCGACCTGCACGCCCGATATGCTGAGTGCGGTTTACGCATCCTGGCTTTCCCCTGCAACCAGTTTGGGAAGCAGGTGGGTAGCTCCAGGCCCTCTGCCAACTGGAGTCTGGGGGCGGGGCCTGAGGGCCTGCCAAGAGGATCTGGGGGGTGGGACTTAAAGTAGGGCCAGGCAGAGGGACCAGGTCCAGAGAGCCCTTTCAGGCCCGCTCCCTCCCATTAACTGTCAGTGCCCGGTCACCACAGGAACCTGGGAGCAATGCCGAGATTAAAGAGTTCGCTGCCGGCTATAACGTCAAATTCGATATGTATAGCAAGGTCTGTGTGAATGGTGACGACGCCCACCCGCTGTGGAAGTGGATGAAAGTCCAGCCTAAGGGGCGGGGCATCTTGGGGAAGTGAGTGTCCCGGGGCCATGGGCCGGGCTGTGGACGTGGACGGGGCTGCGGGAAGGGCGTTCTCTCTGACCCTGTTCTTTTCTTGTAGTGCCATCAAATGGAATTTCACCAAGGTAAGGGGGTGTGGCATGGGGTGGGGGTTTCCTCACTTCTCCTGACCTGTGTTCCCGTCCTCGCTGGACCCTCGCTGGACCTCACGTGCTAGCCCTGACTCTGTCCATCCCACAGTTCCTCATCGACAAGAACGGCTGTGTGGTGAAGCGGTACGGTCCCATGGAGGAACCCCTGGTAAGTGCTGCGCTGAAGACTCAGGATACGGGTGGTGGGGAAAGGAAGACCTTGACCTTCGTTTCCCCCACTGCAGGTGATCGAGAAGGACCTGCCCAGCTACCTCTAGTCCCACGAGCGTGTCCCCCGCCCCCTGCCCACACTGCCCTGTGTCCCTGGAGCCTTCCATCCGGCACCCATGACGGTCTGCCTGCAAACCAGCCCGCTGGTGGGGCCGACCCGAGAACCCGGCGTGCATCTCTGCCGGAGGAAGGTCCTGAGGCCCACGGTGGGGCGTCCCCCCTTTTTTGCCTTGTGGGAATAAAAAAACGTTCCAATCGGTTGGCTGGCCCCTTACTCCTTTGAGAGCTGATGGCTCCCTCTGTCCCTTCAGGGAATAGAGCTGGGTCATGGGCTCCACCCCTTTGTCTCTAAGCCCAGAGTCCTGAATGCTGGACCTGGCCCAGCAGGTCCTGCAGAGTTAATCCCTGTAAATTCCTACAAATGCCTGACCTAGAGGCAAATCTGTGTTGAAGCAACAGTCACCAAGTCAGGATTTGCTCTGGGCTAGGCTGAGACAGGACACCTGGGGTGGGGGCTGCGCCACAGGGGAGGGGCCAGCAGTTGAGGGGGACCCTGCTGCAAAGGGTTGATTAGCCTTAGCTGACCTGCTCCCCTCCCACCTGAGCCCACCCCCTCAGGAACATCCCTGGCTCAGTACAGCTGGGCAGTTGGCTAGAGGCTTCTGGGGAAGAGGAGAGCCCTGTGCCCCAGGGAATGGGTGCCACCCTAGGCAAAGGACCCCTGGGACTCACTATCCCGCCCTGTGTGAGTGAGCCTGGGCAGTCAGACCCTTCTTAGTTCTTGCTCTCCCTCCCGCCCGCCCGCCCCCATCTTAGCCCAGCTAGAAGACCGAAAGGCATATGCCTGAGGAGCAGACAGTGTGGGAAGTGGTCAAAAGTAGTAGGCACATATATTTAAAAATCTCTTTACATATATACATAGGAATTCATTATAAATACACTATACTAGAAAGGCCCCCACCCCAGGGCCTAGAGGAGGCTGCCGCGCAATAACTTAGGGAGCACGAGGTGCTGGGCAGGTGGCGGGGCATTGCATATATTAATGGGGGCATGCCCCCGAGAGGGGGAGGGGAGGCGACCCTGAGCACCTGGGGTTTCCTGAGTCTCCAGCTCTTGGAACCACCCAGTTTCACGGATTTCAGGGGTTCGTTTGACCACAGATATGGCCTTGTACAGTGGGTAGGATAGAGCTGGGCGCCCCTTGGCCCAGGGCACCTGCCTGAGGGGTGGGGGAATAGGAGTAGAGAGGCACACAAAAGGTCCTGGACCCCCACCCCCAGGGCCTGCCTCGGAGCTCCCTATACTCCCATCCTGAGCAGGGGGGCTGCATGGGGCCCAGACGACCCCCCCAGAATGGACCAACCTCTGGGGGTTGCTGCCCAGGCACCGGTAGGTCCCGATCAGCCAGGCCCTTGGAGGGTTGGCTCGGGGAAGGCACTGTGAGGCCCGGTGGGCTAGGCGCGGCCACCCCTCCTTCAGTCCTGCTTGGAAACTTGTCGGCATACACTAGGACCTCATTACACAAACTTCCGGTGGGCTGGTGTGCTCGGGCCTAGGAACTGGAGAAGGGCGGTCCAAATTGGATGACGCTCTGCCGCTCAGGGCCTCCGCCGCTGCCCCCGCCCCCCATAGCTGCGCCCACTCCCGGTGGGCCTGGGGGCTCTGCAGACTGCACGGTTTGCAGCGAGCGCAGCATGTCTTCCAGCACCTCCTTGAAGTTAATGTCGCAACCGCCCCGGTGCAGCATGTCAATGGGATCAGGAAGTGACGCCGGCTCTGATGCGCCCAACAGCAGGCTGGGGCCGGCGGGTAGGGGCAGCTCTGCGGGCAGCGGCGGGAAGGCGAAGTGTGAGGCCTGTGGGAAAGGCACAGCAGGCGGGCTATAGGTCAGGTCCAGCACCTCGCCGGGGCCGCAGGGCAGCTCAAGTGGGCCGGACGGCGGAGGCGCGGGGAGGGACAAGTTGCGCTTGCGCTTCACGTCGGAGTCCATGAGCTGCAGTTCTTGTAGCACGCGGCGCACGCAGACCTCGGGAACTTTGATTCCTGCCGGGTGGAGAGTGGGCGTCAGGACTGTGGTGGACCCGGCCCGGCCCCGCGCTCAAGCCCCCACCCTTGCGGCCCCCACCGGCTCGGCTCACCGACTTGCTTCTTCTGGTCCTTGGTCTTGAGGCGCACGATCTGCAGGTAGCTGCTGCTGGTGATCTCCGCCATGACGGCGGCGATGCGGCCCCACACGCGGAGCAGCGCCCCGCACAGCATGTAGTGATGGCGCAGGCGTAGACCCTGCACGCAGTCCTTACCCTCCTGAACCAATCGGCAATGCTGGTTCCTGTGCCGAGGGGGTAAGGGTGCTGGGCTCAGCCATTCGTCCGGGGTCCCAGCAAGGACCCTCCTAGTTCCCGGCCCTCTCCTACCGCTCGGGCTCCGCCCCACCGCCTCACCAGGCCACGTGGCTGCAGTGCTTCAGTGAGAAGAGGTAATTGCTCTCCCAGTGCTCCTGGGCCTCCTCCGCGGTGACCTAGGGACACAGGCCTGTGAGCCACTGGACCGAGGGGGACTGGGGTCCTCGGGGACAGGAGGGTTGCGGGGGCCCTCACCCAGCGGAACTTGCGGCACAAGCTGTCTAGGGTCTCCAGCTGGCTCTGGCGGCCGATGTTGGGCTTGTAGACCGTGAAATGCTTGTTCCGGTTCTGTTCGGCCAGCAGACAGCTTGTCTTGTTACCTCTAACCTAGAGTGGAGGGGTTGCGCGTGAGGTGCGACAGAGGGAGCTGCCAGGGGCGCGGGTGGGGAGTCACGGCTGGGCCGGTGACCCACCTTGTAGGAGAGGTAGAAGCCATCATAGGCGCCTGTCAGTTCCAGCGACTTGGCGAATGCCTCCTCCCATCGTAGGCCGCGGTCCACGCTGATCTGCCATAGCACAGAGCCATTATGGGTGGGGGTGGGCACCCGACCTCAGCAGATGCAGGAATGGGGCAGGTCCTGCTTACCTTGTAGAAGACCACCTGCCCATCCTGAGGGTGTCCAGGCGTCAGGAACACCTGCTGGCTCTCCTCGTAGATCTCATCGATGCCTGGAGCCAAGTCTGGAGAGGAGAGCAGACATGGGATGAGGGTCCCCAGCATGAGATCCTTCCCTGGGACCTGCCCCCAGCACCTGGGACCCTCACCCAGGATGCCCATGTCGTATTTGCCCTCTCTCTTGTCCACTTCGATGAGGTGGTCGAAGGTGTCTGAGAAGTACTGGAAAAGCGCGTTCTGCTTGTAGACCTCCAGGCCCAGGATGCGGTTCAGGAACTTGGGGATGGAGCAGTCTGGGCAGGCAGGTGGGGGGGGGGGAGGGGAAATGGAGTGTCACCCCAGGCCTAGCGCCCTGCCCTGTACCCCATCCCACACAGGGGCCTCCGTGCCCAGTCCCCCTGGGGGGCACTCACCCTTCTCCACATCCAAACACCCAGATCTGGACTCGCGGCCGCTGATGCCCACTGAAAGCAGTCCCCGCTTCATGTCTGTGGGGGTAGGGGAGAGGTGCTCACGTTGATCCCACCACCTCTGCTTGGGAGGGACTGTCTCTTTATCTCTGACCTCCCTTGAGGGGATTGGGACCACCCATCACCCTGTTAGCATCAGGAGCCTACAGAGGGGCCTAGGGTGGGGGTGGGAGGTTCCCTGGCACTCCAACATGGGGGATGGAAGGAGGCACAACGGGAGACATGCCCATCTTTAGTTCTGTCCCCTTTATTTGGCCTGGAGACAGAGGGGCCTGCCCCGCAGCACCTCTGTCCAGAAGCCCGTCCCAGGGCCCACGTCCTTGAACGATAAATGTCCCCTTTGTGAGTGGGTCTAGGGTGTCTCTAGCATCCCAGCGCTCCCCTCCCCAAACAGCTGCTCAAGCACTTGGGCACTTACCTCGGAAAAAGGCCGAGTCCCCTCCAGGGTAGCTCTGGGGCAGGGGCACCTTGTTCTCTGTCTGGCTCAGGATGGTGGTGAGGACACAGTGCAGGGCCCGGGCACCGTACTGAGTAGAGAGGGGGGCCCAGGTCACGAGGGCCCTGGGGATCCCTTCCTTCCCAGCAACCCCAGCCCTGCCACTCGGGGTGGGAACCTGCCAGTCAGTACCTTGTTCTCGAAGTTGTATTTGCTCAGGTCCCGGGACTCAGTGGCCCGGCGGTCTCCATGGGTCAGAGCCCCCTATTAGGGAGATGTGAGTCTCTGTAAGAGCCCGCAGGCCCGCCTCTCTCCACCCTGTCCCACCCACCTCTTCAGGCCGCACCTCCTCCTCCCTCTGGGAGTCCTCTACACCACCCTGTGACTACTGACCAGGCTCTCGAGGCGCTTGGCCACAATGGAAGCGAACCTCCGTTCCCCGGCCAGCTCCGAGATGAGGAAGACGTACTCGGGCGCCGAGACCTGGTTGGACCGGTGGGTCCGGCCTGAGGGCAGAGAGAGGATTCTCAGGGTCCTGTCTCCCAGCAGGAGAAGCATGGGGGCGTTCAAGGGGTGGGACTAAGGAGGCAGATGGTGGGGCTCACCAAACTGCTGGATGGCACGGTCAGCGCTCCAGGGCAGCTCAAGGGTCATGTGGACCCGCCGCTTCTGGTTCTGCACCCGACGGTCAGCTTGGAGGGAGACACCTGAGCTTGAGGCCTCCGAAATGATAGCCACTAGCTGGGGGCCAAGACCAGGGGTGGTCAGCACAGGCCCCAGCAGAGAGCCTGGGGCAACCCCTTCCTAGCTCACGCCCCAGTCATCTGGAGCATTCACCCCTACCCTTCCCCAAAGGGAAGGGACCCTGCGTGCCTCCACCTCCGCATCTTTGTGCACAGTGGGAGTCCATGTGGGTTTAGAATGAAAAGGCCACTGCCCAGGACACAGCCAGGGATGTCTGGAAGCCTCACAGAGGTCAATCCTGGGAGGGGAGGGGCTTTTGTTTCTACGTCCCAAGCCAGGGTCTAAGAGGCGGCCATGAAATGCAACCAGTGTGCATCACACGTAGCTTCTGTGAGGCACCTAAGTCCCAAGGGGAGGGATGAGTCTCCCCTAGCCCCGCCCTGCCCCGCCTCGCTACCCACCTTCTCGCCACTCATAAAGCGCTCCTTCTCCCTGAGGTTCACGTGGTCAATGGATAGGCCCTGTTCCGCCCGTGACTCAAAAGCCACCGTCCCATCGGGCCTGGACACCACTCGGCCTTTCCTGCCCGTCATCTGTGGTCACAGCAGAGAGCAGGGTGACCTGTCAGTGGTCCATAAGGCCCTGAGAACCCCAGGCCCAGGCACTTCACCCAGGGGACCAGGAGAGGCAGGATGAGGGGCGCAGCTCCTGCCCACAGTGCGCATCAAAGCTGAAGGGCCTTGGAGATCGGGGAGACTGCTGGTGGTGGTGGGCGTTAGGGGCCATCGAGTCTGGGGGTTAGGACCAGCAGCCAGGCCTCACCTCAGCCACTCGCTCTGGGCCCCCAAGCTGGTCAATGAGTTCATCTAGGGTGTTGGCAGGCAGCTCCCGACCCAGGTCTCGAACCTTGGCCAGAAGGTCCTGCTTCAGCCTCTCCACCCGCTCCATCACCCCAGGGCCTTGTGGGTCCCGGTGCACAGAGCACAGGGGGCCTGGAAGGAAGAAAGGTGAGCAGTCAGGATCAGAGCGGGCTCAGGGCAGGCATGGAGTCAGAAACGTTCTCCCAGTTCTGGCCTGACATCCCTCCTCAGAGCCTCGCTCTCCCCCACCGCTAGCTTGGAGAAGGGCTGGTGTCTGCACTCTGACAGACTGGCTCTCACCTCGGTCATCGACAGGGAGACCGACAGCTTCCACGATGACCACGTCATCATCCACCAGGGACTCGGGGGAGGAGTTGAAGTCGCTGTCCAGGCCAGCATCTGACTCAGTGCTGCTATCGTCGCTGATTCGAATCACACCCGCGACCTCAAACACCAACCGGGATGCCTTAGTCCCTCGGCACTGTGGCCGCCCTATGGGGAGAAGGCTGTCATTGTAGGATGGCCAGCAGGCTCAGCACCAGCAGGAGACGGGAGAGGAGCTGACGTGGCGAGCCCAGGGCGAGAGGACGACTGGGAGACAAAGGCACTGGACACCCCTGCTCCAGCGAGGCCAGAGATCTCCACTCGCAGAAACGCCTGCTTGGCCACCCTCCCTGAAGTCCGATGGGGCAGTGCACGCAGGCTGCGGGGAGGTCGAACACCCAACAAGGCTGGGATCGGGGCCTGTTCTGACACCACCCCCCCCCTCCCTGCAGTCAGAAGGGCGAGGGGAGGCCACACACCTGGTCTCACACAGCTGTTCTGTCCTTTAGAGAGAGGCCCAAGTGCCCTTCTGCCTACAACAGCTCCGATGGCCAGGCTGGGTGAGCCTGGCTCTGCCCATAGCTGTCTGGCTCCTCTTTCTACCATGAGCCAGACAACATGTTTGCTGCTGACTTCCCATCTTGGGGAAACTTTGAGGTCTGGCCCCAATCCACAAAGCTAGCACGTTTCAAGCAGCATGGACCTGCTGCAAAGTCACCAGCGGGGCGTGAGGGTTGAGCTCAGCAGGTCTAATGTCCTGCCTGTCAAGGACCATGGTATGGGGGCGGTGCTGACGTTTGCTAACTTGGGGTCTTCTGGGTGGGGAGGAGCAGGCTGCCCAGTCATGCTGCTCATTTAAAGGGGCTGCATGGCCCTGTCCTAACGCTGCCTCCTCATGGGCTGGGTGAATCTTTAAGAAGAGGGAGCAGCTAGAAGAGGGGTGCAGGGGTGGCAAGGACTGGCGGCAGTGAGCTGGAGGCGGTGGGAGGTACTTACGTTTTCTCTTAGTGCCTGCGGCTCTGTCCCGCTTTCTTTTGGTGGAAGGGAAATGCTTCTGAATGAGCGACAGAAAGACACCTCTGAAAGGGAGAGTGGGGTCACGCGCAGCCCACGTGGGCAGGAGTCTGACTTCATGGGCTCTGAGGCCGAGGCTGCTATGTCACTGGGGGAAGAGCATCAAGGGGTCCCCAGAGATGGACACTGATGGCCAAGAGAAACGAGATGGGGCGATCTGAGCTGGGCGGGAGCTCCTACTCCTCCCCCACTAAAGAGTGACCCTAGTGAGGCTGCTCTAAGTCAGTCCACCGGCAGCGGCTGTGGCACCGACAGAGACCACCTGGGGAGGGGGTGCAGACGAGCCACGCTCACTCACTCGGCAGCTGAGACGAAGCAGTCCAGGTGCCCATCCTTCTCGCCCAGCACCTCGCGGGTGCGCGCCTCACCCGTGGACTGCAGCCCGATGACCACGCACTGCAACAGAGGGCCAGCCTGTCAGCCTCCAGGGAGCCAGCTTGGCCCCGGCCATCGCTCCCTACCGACTCGCTCCTCCCCACCCCTTGCCCAGGGCCCACAAAGCCCACTCTGTTCACCTTGTCCCGGGCCAGCTCCTCGCGGGCCAGCTCCACCAGGCGGCGAACCTTGGCAGCAATGCACAGATACTTGAAGAAGCGCTGGTGGGCTGACCAGAACTGGCCCCACAGGGATTTGCGTGACTCCAAGCCGATCCAGTCAGCTGCCTGCTGGAACACGCCCAGGGCTTCCGCCCACTGCAAGGACAGGTTGCTGAGTGCCACCAGCACTCCTGCCTCACTGGCCACCCCATCCCACTGGTCAGGGAAGGGACGTCTGGCCTGCTGATACTCTGATGTTAACTGCTGCCGGCTCAGGTGTGCACCGGGGGACCGCCAGCACCTCTCATTTCCCTCCTCTCTCCTCCCCAGGCAGTGTGGGCAGAGGACGTACGGAGGTCAGGTGTAGTCTCTTGGGGGGGGTCAGTGGATTCCACTAACCGCAGGGTCCTCACCCAAGATGATTCTGCTCTCAAGGGACACTGGGTGAAGTCTGGGGACACTTGTGGCTGTCACCACTGGGAGGGTACTATTGGCATGGAGTAGGTGGAGGCGAACGATGCTGTTCTACACCCCACAGTGTACAAACAAAGATCTGGCCCCAACATCAGCCACAAGGGACAGCCGGCTTTAGTCTAACTCAAATCACCCCAGAAATGAAGGTCCATTAAAAAGATCATGGAGAAATAGAATAGTGATAATGGTATCTTCCCACAGACTTTCTGATGTTCCCTCATATGGTGCACGTCTGCTCCTCCTGGGACGGGCTGTGAGGGTGAGCTGAGAGTGAACCAGAGAGCCAACCACAGCACCGTGGTCAGGAGAAGTGACGAGCTCTCAGTGAAGGCTGGGAGGCCGGCTGTGTCCCTCTGGTAACTGGACGGTTACAGCACTGGGTGGACTGGGTGCGGTGCGGACACTCACCAGCAAGGCGGCGCGGTTGTAGACATGTTCAAAGGCGGGGACCAGTGGGATCTCCTCAATGCGGAAGGTGACCCCTGAGAAGCTGAGCTGGCGCGCAATGTACATGCCGCTGACCTTCATGTCCATGGCCACGATCTCCATGGCGCCCACGCCCCTGAGGACAGCAGATAAACTCACACTGAGTGTCCCCCCGCCCCCCTATGGGCAGAGCTGACAGCAGGGCAGGATGGCGGGAGCAGGAAGATGGCGTGAGGGGAGGCTCTTTCTCACAGCAGAACTAGGCAGTGTGAGCAGAAAGCCAGGCAGGACCAAAACCACCAGGCCTCAGGCTGCGGCTCCACAGCCCCCATCACTGGTAGGACGCCTGCTCACCTCTTCTCAATGGCGTGCAAAAACTCCTCGAAGGTGCGGAAGGGCGTACCTTCACCCCAGATGCCCAGGCGGCTCATGTAGATCATGTTCCGTGGTTCAGAGGCACCTGGGCATTGGGGAGAGGGGGCATCAGGGTGGGGAGCCTCAACACTGCCTGAGAATACCCAAGTGAGGGCTACATACTGAGAGCTAAAGGTCTCAGCCAAGTCCCCACAGCCAGGGGGGTGCCAAGAGCTACTGTGCACAGGGAGCCCGAACCTTAGAGCCAGGGCTGTGGGGAGCAGATGCTGCACCGCTAATCGATGGCAGTACATGTGAGCGAGCACAGACATAGCTAGTCGATGGTGGCTTCCCTCACCTGTGGCGCTGGCATAGACAACTCTGGCCAGGGGCAGCTTGTTCTGCAGGTCCAGGACGGCTTTGCCCATCTTAGTGGAGCTGGCATTTTTGGCTTTGTGGCACTCATCAAATACGATCTGGTTGTGTACGGGGTTAAGGACTATCCCCTGGGGACACAGGCTCTCGAGACATCATGGGCCCTGGCCCCTCCCATCTCACTGGGGACTTGGCAACATCGCTCCTGGGAGGGGAGCTGGTGAAGGGATGGTGGCCTCAGGCTAGGCCAGGTCCAGGGGGGGCAGGAAACCTGGCCTACAACAGTATCACGCAGACCTTAAAGATGACCAGGGCACAGCGAACACAGAAAAACAGGGCCATTGGAGTGAGGCAGGTGGGAGCCACAGCCAAGTTCCCATGGTAACCGGATGCTACAGCTTGGCCAGCTGTTAGGTGGGGAAACAGGATGACTACCTGGGATTCTCACTTCTATCTGCATACACAGCCATCGCAACATTCAAACAATGGTATTGAAGACAAAGTGCAGGGGAAACAATAAAGCAGCTCCCATGACGCTGATTCCAACCTATGGTAACCCCACGTCCCCCTGCCAGCGGACACACCATGTGCTACGAAGCTGCCAGACTAAAAGAGATTAGGAAGAAAGGGCTGGCAACCAGCCCATGAAAACCCTGTGAGTTCACAACTGACCACGGGCTGGCAGGACACGGGCAGCAATTTGCTCCAACTGCACAAGCTCACTGCGAGTCGGGGGCCGACTCGACATCTTCCACAGGGTCCCCTTTATGTATCAGACCCCAAGGTGATGCTTCCTTACTGCTGCTGCTGTTCCGTGCCACCGAGTGGGTTCCCAGTCACAGTGATCCTGCACAGGGTTTCCAAGGAGCAGCTGGTGGGTTTGAACCACTGACCTTACAGTGAGCAGTCCAGTCACACCAGTACTCGATGTTTCTCTACAGGTGCCTGTTTAGAAGCACCTGGAAAGGGGGGCGGGGTGCTGCTCTCCTGTGGGGCTGCTCTGAGGAGGGAGGGAAAGGAACCAGTCAGCAACAACAGAGCAAAAAGTGCTGGAAACTAGACCCGCAGTTTGTAAGTTCGGGTCCAGTCCTGGACCAGCACACTAAGGGCCTCCCGCCCGTGAAGTCTCAAAGGGCACATGAGAGTCAGACACGGATACAGTGTGGGGTCTCGTGAGTGTGCACACCATCACCAAGAGATCTGGACGCTGTGAGAATACAACAATACAACAACATGTAAAGGCAGCACATGCTGTCAGGACGATGACATGACAGACACGCTCGACACAGGACTGTCACTCATGTCTAGTTCCTATAGACGACCTCTCTGAAGGGAGCAGAGCAAGGTGCGCTCGTAGGGAGAGCGGACTGAGGGGTGCAGCCAGTGTCACTGAACAGCTGTGCAGAAACAGGTACACGGGGACCCCAACGCTGGAAAATGGCTCGAACTTGGGATCATGGGCATGTCCACCCTTAATACGTTCTTGGACATAACACCGGGCCACCATTTTGCTGGTCAGAAAACAGTGTCGTTAACCCTTTTCAGAAGGAGGGGAGGGAGGTGCGAGGGCGGGATTGTGCTCCTCTCCCTGTGATGTCTGTGTCGGATGGACGAAAGGACCAACAAGGGGGACAAGGAAGAGGCCAGGCAGTCACGCTGGACCAGTGTGGGGCCTTGTGCTGCGGGCGGGACCAAGCGGTGCTGTCTGAGCTGAGTCTCGTGTGACAGGGGGAAGGAAACCCTCTTGACCTGCAGCCCCAAAGCGGCTCACCCTGAAGGGAGGAGGCCATGAGGAGTGGCCCCACCCGGAGGTATCACTGCACACAAGGATACAACGCCGTCAAAGGTGGCCCCACACCACTCGAGGATCTGCCGGATGCGTGTACGGTGCTGCCCGCCGGCCTGGCTCTCCCCAATAAGTGCTGAGTAGGTGGCGAAGAGGACGCCCTCTGAGGTAGTGTTGTCACCGTACTTGGTCTGGGGGGCGGGAGGGATTGGTCATGGACACTCCTGGGGGTGCCCCTGTGCCCCTCCAAGCCTCAGTTCCCACACTCAGTAAAGTGCTGGCTGGGTGCCCAGTCCCCACCCAGGACAGAAGGAGGAACTTGCCAGAAGCAGATGGACAGAAGTAGGGGGAAAGGGCTCCACACAACCAGGGACAAGCTGGGGGTGGAGGGCAGGCAGTGGAGGTGCCCGGGGCCCCTGCAGGCCTTCTGGGAGGCCCAGGGAAGGATGGGAAGACGGGAAGGGGAGGCAGGGAGGCCATGGCACCCCCACCTTGCTCAGTGCATGCACAGCGATGCCGGGGGCTTCGATGTCCCGAAGGTCACGCTCTGCATCGTACTTGAGATCGTTGGAGACGCTGAACCTGGGTGTGGGTCAGGGATCAGGTGGGAGTCCAGGTGGCCGCGGCCAGCGGGGGGCCCCTGAACATAGGGGGGTACTCACCACAAGGACTTCTTCCTACCCTTCAAATAGTTCTCAAAGATGATGCCAGCCACTGTCCGGCCCTTGCCCACACCGGCCCCGTCTCCAATGAGGAAGCCGGCTCGCTGCCCATTGGGTAGCAGGACTTCATGTTGCTGGGGGGACGGGGAGACAGTCATGGCCTGCAGGCTGACCAGGCTGGGTGCACGGGGTGTTGGGATGTGGGGAAGGGCAGGGACCCACCTGGCAGGCGTAGGTGATGGCCTCTAGCTGTAGGGCAGACAGGGCCCCGCTGTCCAGGGCCGAGGAGGGCAGGGTCAGCACGTAGGTGACGTCGGGTGGAGGCACGCTCGATAGGGTGCTGGTCTCCACCACACGGTCCGGGTGGTGCTTTCCGATCTTGGCTGTGGGGGGGACAAGGGGACACTCCTGGTCAGGGCTCAGTGAGGGCAGCACCTGGCCCTAAGGCTTCTGAAAGGGCCAGAGAGACGGGCACTCCGTTTCTGGCCTTTTGCGGGCAGCACACAAAACGCCCACTGGAATGCTGCCGCCCCCAGGCACCCCGCCGGCACTCACACTTGGAGGGCACGTAGTCAGCATAGGTCTCCGTGTGGCCCAGCTCCTCAGCCTCCTCCTCCTCAGCCTCATCCTCTTCCTCAGGCTGGCTCTGCGACTAACAAGATGGGGGGGGCAGCACCCCAGCCGGCTCAACTTTCAGATGGTGCAGGGGGACACTCCCCACCCCCCTAGATCCTGGGCAGGAGGGGCAGGCAGCATGAGGGGCTCACCTGGTAGCTGATGAGAAGTGGTGTAGCGGGGAGCGCGGGCACAGGGTCTTCAAGGCCGGGAAATGGCACACTGGGCAGGAAATGCTGGGGCTGGAGGGAACCAAGAAATCAGGGGAAGCCAGCCGGGCTCAGGCTGCGGCCTGCCCCTCACCCATGCCTGTTCCCACGCCTCAGCCGCATAGGCACATCCCCGTGAGGTGAGGCCACACTCTACCTCCCCTCCCCCAGTCCCAGACTACCTCAGAAAAGGGGCTTAGCTGCTAGTTCTGGTGCAAGGACAGGGACCCCCATGCCACCTGCAGAAGCAGGCAGAGCTGCTGTGTGCTCACGATGCCCACTGTGTGCTTCTGGGAGACCCAATATGTTCTCATGGGACACCCATTATGTTCTCATGGGACACCATGGGATACCCACTATGTTCACACGGGACACCCCCTGTGTTCACACGGGACACCCACTGTGTTTATATGAGACACCCACTGTGTTCACACGGGACACCCATTACGTTCACATGGGACACCCACTGCGTTCTCATGGGACACCGGGACACCCACTGCGTTCACATGGGACACCCACTGCGTTCACATGGGACACCCCGTGTTCACACGGGACACCCACTGCGTTCACACGGGACACCCACTGCGTTCACATGGGACACCCCGTGTTCACACGGGACATCCCCTGCGTTCACACGGGACACCCACTGTGTTCACATGGGACACCCACTGCGTTCTCACGGGACACCCACTGCCTGCTTCTAGGTTGCTCCACTGTGCCCTTGCTGGAGACCTCCCCTTAGGAGCATTTTGGGGACAGGGGACATAGGCCAACAGCAGCATCGTGACACCCAGGTGGCTGTGTGACCCACATGCCCTGATTTACAGCATCACTCAGGTGCAGAGACAGGACGGCTCTGCTGGCCCCGAAGGGCCATATGGACACCAGAGTCGGGATGTAGCCACGGGGATGTGTGTGAAGGTGCTGTCTGCCTCCGCTGTTACAGAGTCAAGAGCTGAGGATGCACTGTGGACAGTGGGTTCATTCTAGAACATTTTCACTCTTAAACAATTGCAAGAGAAAGTTCTAGATGTGACAATGGTGACGGGGCACAGCTTGGTAGATGTCATTCATGTCACAGAGCTCCCTCGGCTGTTAGCCTGATGGGATGGGGACAGGTGGCCAGCTCCGTCCCCCTTGGCAGCACCACTGAGGCTCTTCGGACGGCACTTTAAAAAGTTCAAATGGCAAGTTTCAGGTTATAGATACTTTACCACAGTGCAGGAAAGAAGTCACTGTTAAAAACCGTGAGCATGGAGAAAGGAAACACAAAGACATGGGGCCGTGACTACTGAGCCCCAGAGTCTTTACCAGGACCCCAGGCCGGAGGCCAAGGACGTTTCTAGCCCGTGACCCTGGGTCAGTGTGGGGCAAGTGGGCTCGAGACACAGGAAGACCAGAGGCCCAGGCCTGCGCTCAGCCTCCTCTCCTTTCTCAAGTGATAAAAACCACACACAGAGCAAACAGTGGCTGGTTCCCGGAAGGCTGAGTCATGGTTCCCATGGGCCACGGTCCTCGGGGACCAGTCAGGAGGTCTCTCTTCCGCCCACCTGGTCACTGCTGGGGGAGCCTGGGGGCGCCCCCCATGCGGCCAGGTCAACAGACACCCAGCAGCAACCTCTAGGGGAACCTGAGGATGGACACTCGGCAGGGGTCTTCAGCATGCCCCTGGTCCCGCCCATTCTTAGCCCCACCTCAGAGGCTGGTTGGGGCTGGGGGCAACTGGGCCTCACTGACAGGACACCCCCACTGGGAGCCCCCCGCCCCAAGTGTTCCAAAGAATGCTAGTCGGGCTCTCTAGCCGCTCTGAGGGCTCAGTTCCACCCATCTGGACCCTCTGCTCCCACCAGGCCAGGCCCATAGCCCACAACACCCATGGAACCCTGCGTGGCCTCGCAGCCCTCCTCCACTCCATCACCCCTGTCCTCCTAGGCCAAAGCTACCTCTGGACACTGCTGACATGGGTGGAGCCTTCTCTGGGGAGCTGTCATGGGCAGGGGGGTGTTGAGTAGCAGCCCCCACCCTGTGGGGACACCTACAAATGTCCCAAATCACCAGCAGGAGAGCCCCAGATACGAATCCTGGTTTAGGGATTCCACTGACCCCTATAATCATCTGACCTCCCGTCATCCTAGGACGCTGCCCACGGTGAAATCCACACAGAGTGGGGAGGAGAGAGGAAGAAAATCACAAGAGTGACAGGGGCTTTGGTCCCGTCAAGATCAGCTTTGAGTCGCTGTGAGTCGGAACCAACTCACGGCTAATGGGTTTGCTTTGGACTTTGGTTTGAAGGATCCGCCCGCTCTACACCGTCAGACCTTTGGGAGTGAGCAGGGATCCAATTCAATTTTCTTCCCCCAAATTCTCCATCTTAGCAACGTAGGCATTTGGGACTGCCTCATTCTCTGCAGGGGGACTGTCCTGTGTACTGTATGGTGACCCCCAGAAATGTCCCATCATTGTCCAGTGGGACTGGGAGTCAGGAGGGGCTATCCGCCTATCTCCCCTCGGGGCAAGGGACTTGCTCACAACTGCTTCAGAGCACCAAGCTGACAGGAAGTCATGGAGGGAAGGGCACCCACAGGGAGACAAAAGCAGCTGCAAAGACCCTGGGGAGGACGCCCCGTGCTGAGGTAGGCTGAGGCACTGGTACCATTGCAGTCCGGACCCTTGTTTTCTGGGCTGTGCAGGAATCTGACTTAGCCTCAGCTGAGCAGTACCCTGTATATGGGTGGGGCAGCTGGGGACCAGGGGCTGGGCCACTGACCTTGTCTTGGGCAGATGAGGCGGTGCTCACGTCCCAGATGGTGGGCACCTGACTGAGACTGTCAACGGGTGGGAAATCAGCCGTGTCTGCGATGTCCGACAGGGAGTCCATGGACGAGGATAAGATGGAGGCATTGGAGATGTCATTGAGGCACGAGGAGTCCTGGAAGACGGCTGGGTGACTGGCGTGCACGGTCACTGTGCTGTGACCCCAAACAGAGACTTCCGCTTTCATAGACACTCTGTCACTGCATTTTCCTTGGTTACCAGCTTACTAGGGGTCACACAGTGGACACTGTCCAGGGACTAACTGGACAGCTACAGTTTTGAGTTTACCCAGAGGCACCTCAGAGCAAACAGCAACCACGGACAGATCCACTCTGACACACGGGAGTGCAGGTTAGCAGAGTCCACTCCGTGGTCATGTGGGAAAAGAATTCATGGTTGGCAAGACAGCAGCCCCCAAGATGTCCACACCTTGATCCCCAGGACCTGGGACCACGGCATTTCGCACAGTTAAAGAACCCCGCAGACGGATGATGGGCAGAGTCTGGAGGTGGGAGATGATCCCACATCACAGGGTCCTTAGCTCAGGACGGTGGGAGGGCAGAGTCAGAGCAGGAGACGTGAGGGGGGAGAGACAGAGGGCGCCACCGAAGGTGCAGGAAGGGGCGCGGGCAAGGGCTGCAGGTGCTTCTCCCTGGAGCCTCAGGAAGGAATGAACTCACACCCTGACTTCAGTCCCATGTGCCCTATTTTTGGACTTCTCGCCTCCAGAACCCGCCTGGTTTTAACCACTCAGCTGCTGGTGACTGCCAAGACAACCACAGGTGAGTCAGACACCAGGGGCAGGGTGTGTGGGCACCTCACTAGCACTACAGAGGAAGTGGGCCTGGGGCCTGGGCGACCTCGGGTATGGGGGTCAGTAGGGTGAGTCCAGAGAGACGGAGGTGCTGACAACAGGGACACTAACTAAGGTGCGCTCTCAATGGGTGGGTTCCAGCTCAGAGCTGTCAACAAGAGGAAAAGAAAGAGGAAGGTCTGGAGGCTCCGTGCTGGCAGACAGCTGTGAGTGGAAGTACACGGGACAGACACATAGGGCCACCTGAAAAGGTGACCTTGTGCAGAAATCACCCATCAAGTCGAGACTTAAGAAACTATCCAGATATAGACGGGTCTCTTGTGATACAACAGTGAATAACTGTTATCAGGACTGACTCTGAGGGTTGGAATTGTAAAGGTAGATGTTTTATGGCAAAAGGAGGGGAGTGATTGACTTGGCAGATTAGGAGCCAAGGTCCCTGGGACCATGAAGGGAGAAGAGTGGAGAGCGGGACCCTACCCAGAGAAGCAGTGACGCCTGAGATGGAGGCAGAGATGATGACATGGAGCGATGGAGCAGCTGGAGACTTTAGACCCAGAGAGGGAGAGGGCTGTGTGCTGATGACTGAGGGGCAGGCTTGCAGGGTATACCCTTTGGTTGGTTGATGATGCATGGAGGGGATTGTAACCATGGCAATGAAACGATAGGATGAGTGTAAAACTAATGTTCTCCCATGTAAACTATCACATAATTCACAATAAAACATTAAAAAATAAACTATCCAACAACTTAGCAAGACGATGAAAAGATGTTAGATGCCACCAGCCCCTCCAAACCCAAACCACTGCCACCAAGTGGCTTCTGACTCACAGCGAGGCCGTAAATCTTTACGAGAGCAGACTGCCAAATCTTTCTCCCACAGAGCGGCCAGTGTGTGGACGGCGACCTTTCAGTTACCAGCCAAGTGCTTAGCCACTGTGCTACCAGGCCTTTCATTAGCCACTGGTGCTGTCGAGTCGGTTCCAACTCCCAGTGACACCAGAAGGAAACCGTGCCTGGTTGTGCACCCTCCTCACAACTGTCGTTACAGCTGAGCCCACTGCTGCTGCCACTGTGCCAGTCCATCTGGTTGGGGGGGTGGTCTTCCCTTTTTTTCAGTGACCCTCCATTGTACCAAATACGATGTCCTTCTCCAGGGACTGACCCCTCCTGAGAATATGTCCGAAGTATGAGAGTCTATGTTTGCCCAGTCAGAATATGAGAATCAAAACCACACTGAGATACCAACTCATGCACATTAAAAAGGCAATGTTCAAAAAACAAAACAAAACCAAAACTAGGTGTTGGCGAGGCTGTGGAGAAACAGGAAGTCTCGTTCATTGCTGGTGGAAGCGTAAAACAGCGCAGCTGATGTGGAAAACAGCTTAACAGATCTATCAAAAGCTGGACATAGAAAGAGTGCAAACCCAGCAATCCCAGTCCAAGGTGTAGCCCCAGTGACGTGATGACAAACATAAGTCCCAAGAGCCAAGAGGTGACACAAGCGGAGACAAACATGCCTACAGGAAGCATGAGACCTGGACAGCTAGATGGTGCCTCGCTGTCACCACTGACAGTGTGGACTGGGGACTCGGATACAGTGGGAGGACAATGGACAGAGCTCAAATTCTGATGTTTAAACGCCAAATGGACACTAGAATCGGGCTGCGAACAGCAAGGTCAGCAGTTCGAAACTACCAGCTGTTCCATGGGAGAAAGATGGGGCTTTCTGCTCCCGTAAAGACTTACAGCTTTGGAAACCCCATGCAGGGTCGCTATGAGTCGGAACCGATTCCACGGCATATAACAACAACAAGAGACCAGAAGACACCAGGATTATCACCCTGACACACTCTATAACCTCAGGACCGAGTCTCTCCTCTGAGACCACCTCTCAGTGAACATACCCTAGAAGATCGGGAGCGTGGTGGCACCACAGGATAAGCACCGGACAGTGAACCATATGGTCAGTGGATCGAGTCCACCAGCCATTCCTATGGAGAAAGATGAGGCTTTCTGCTCCTGTAAAGATTTACAGCCTCTGAAATCCTGTACCAACAAGATGGAACTTAACAACAAGCTAGAAGGCTGGCGTTCTACTTAAGAACTATCAATCTGAAATGACTCGACAGCACAGACAAGAAAACAAGGGGGCAGGGAGACTAGATCACTGGAAATGGAACAACCAGAATGCAAGTAAGAGAAATGTGATCAATGTAACTAAAGTCACCTGACAATTTGTGAGAAACCTAGCCTGCTGTGTAAACTTTCACCACTCAATAAAACAGTATTCTAAAAAACAAACTCAGATGTAGTTCTAAACACACAATAGAAGACTACTCAGCCACAAAGAAACGAAGTTCTCATGCACATCCTGGACCCTGGATGAACTGTGAAAAGATCTTAGTGAAATAAGTCAGATACAAAAGGACAACGAGTGTATGATCTCACTTATAGGAAATTAAGAAAACACATAAAAACGGAGGATTAGTAGTAGTTACCGGGAATGGGAGGAAAGGGGGGAGTATTTGCTTTGGGGACACTGAGTTCATGTTCATGGGGGGGGGGGCAGCTGATTCGGAAAGGGAGAGTGAGAAAGAATGCACAACTTGAAGAAGACAACAACTGTCACTGGCTAGGCTTTGTTGTGGGTATTTCCACCACCTTTCAAAAGCAAAGGAAAAGCAGCAACCGACAGACACTCAGGAGTCACTGGGGAATTGGCTAGGATTCCAAGACTGGGTGGGTCAGGTGTGAGTCTGCATACCTCCAACAGCCCAAGGTGGGTGCAGACTCAGATGCCAGGGTCACCACTGAGGCCGAGCTTTTACCTAGGAGCCACAGGGGAGCCGGAGTACACGGGCCAGCGTGGAGCAGACCCGAGTTCTAACAACCATACCTATGCTCGCGGGAGCCAGACTGGGAGGCAGACCTGCGTCCCTACTGAGACAAGAGAAGCAGACCCTAACCCACCTGACCTGTATTTGGGGAGCAGAAAGGGCCTTTCCTAAGGTGGGGGGGGAACAACTGCAGCGCCAGGACCTAAAGTCTGGGCAAGTCCACAGGGGCCCACTGCGGGTTGTGTGCAGGGGACTGGGGTGGTAGGGGTGTGTGCACGGTTGAGGGGGTTGTGGAATAGCAGCCCCCCCCGACCCTGAAGTCAGCTTTGCTGTCATTTTCCACATTCTTCCCCTAGGGCAACAGATGAGAATGCCACCCCAGCCACCCGCCCCCCACCCTGTGTGTGCACCTGGGAGTGGTCCCATGAAGAGAACCCTGTTTTCAGAAGTAAAGATGAGGGGCAAGAGGCCAGAACCTGTTGAGGGGGCTCACACAAGCCCTCACTACCAAAGTGGTTGGGTGAAAGTCAGGGGAGAGGTAGGCCAGTGGGGCAGCTGGGGATCCTTGGCAGCACACGTCAACCAGGGGCGCAGGCTCACTGTCCACCCTGATATGACAGGGCAGGACGAGCACCTCACACTGAAGCCGCCTTCCAAAAGCCTGTCCAACCATGAGGCCCCACACAGTCCACAAGGGAGGGGCCGCCTATAAAACTCGTGAGCAGCACCCCACAAATCCTGACTGGGGAGGGGACTGAAGCCACCTGAATGACCACCGCCATCAGGGAACGCCAATGTGGTGTAACAACACAGCAATGTCACCGGACACTACGAACTCAACTTTTCTGTGACTCTGAAATAGTCTATTGAAACTGAGGACGCTCCATGCCCCTCCCAGATATTCCGATGCCCACCCAGGGTAGGGTAGCCACCAGGACAATAGGATGGGGCCTCGCGAAGTGGGGGGTCATGGGGGCGGGATTCCACCATCCAGACCGCTCACACAGGGGGGCATTCAGGAGGGCCCCTCTCCTTCCACTCCAAAACTCTCAGCAGCCCCCACCTACACCAGCCCCAGAACTGGACCCAAAACGAGCTCTGGCCCCTCCCAGGGGCGGGGACTACAGATCAGACAGGCTCCGCCTACACACCAGGGACGAGTACAAACTGCCCCGCGCCCCTCCCCTCCCTCCTTA